GTCCAATTGCTTTGATATTACATATATAGGTACTACATGTGGACCTCTCTCAGATTTGTTCATTTTCTAATGATATCTTCTGTTCTTTAATTGCCATGTGCATTGCTAACAGCAGAGCTATCTCAGCCGACTGGCTGCTTGTTTCTAAATTTTGATATATTGATATTTTTTTTACCCCTTCTACTTGTTTAAAATCACACTGCAAAGTACATGTATACGCATGCAGCCATTGTCACCTCAAATATGCGTGCGGATGCAGATGTCAAACTCATCTCCGGTTTACTTAATTTTAAGTTATTTTTTCACAATACACTCCATCATGTACAGATTCCTCACATCATATTTAATTTCCTTTACTCCTGATGTTTTTTTTTGTTTTTGAATGATCTTTTAATTATTTCCGTTGAAAATTGTAGTCGTGCAACTTCTGGCTTTTGTGCAAATTTACGGATCTTCTGCAGGATGTAGACAATTGATGGTTGCAGAGCACTTAATCCGTTTTAGTATTCATTTGTCATAGTTCTATTCAACAATAAAAAAACAACAATAACATTATTTTATACATAAATCTCGCATTTTGAAACGTTTTAGTGTCTTACTAAATTCCCATCAAAGACAATGTTAGGTATAGACAATGCAATATTATTTTGAAAATGTTTGTTGAAAACTCGCATTTGAGATCATCAATAAATTTATTACAGTTCATTAAAGATATTAGGGCTATTTTTAGCTCCGCTGTCGACTTTGTCGAGCGGAGCTTATCATATGAGTGATTGTCCGTCGTCGTCGTCCGTCGTTGTCTGTGTCAATGTTTTACTTTTTCGACTTCTTCTTGAAAACTACAAGCCTGAATGCTTTGATACTTGGTGTATATGTACCTTGGGTAGACCTCTCTTAGGTTTGTTCATTTCATGATGATATCTTCAATTCGCTAATTTTGGTGAATATTTTTGTCATTTTTGGTAAAAAGTGATATTTTCGACTTCTTGTAAAAAGCCAATAGTCCGATTGCTTTGATATTACATATATAGGTACTACATGTGGACCTCTCTCAGATTTGTTCATTTCATGATGATATATTCAATTCGCTAATTTTGGTGAATATTTTTGTCATTTTTGGTAAAAAGTGATTTTTTTGACTTCTTGTTAAAAACCAAAAGTTCAATTGCTTTGATATTACACATATAGATACTACATGTAGACCTTTCTCAGATTTGTTCATTTCGTGATGATATCTTCAATTCTCTAAATTTGGTGAATATTTTGGTCATTTTTTATAGAAAGTGATATTTTCGACTTCTTGTTAAAAACTGTAAGTCCGATTGCTTTAAATTGATACTATACATATTGTTCATTTTCTAATGATGTCTTCAGTTCTTTAATTGAAATGTGCATTGCTAACAGCGGAGCTATCTCAGCCGATAGGCTGCTTGTTTTTTATTGTTTGAATCATCATACAACCTTTAAATGTTTCCAAAATCTTTACACAATATAATTAGAGTAGTCATATCAAGCAAACCAAACATCAAAACTTTCTAGATGGCAGGTGTTAGTCATACTGATCTGTACATTATTAATTTCTACAATATTAAACTCTATTCAAGTTTTATATTTCTTTTTCAAATATTCATTGTATGTTCTGTTATTTTCAGTGGCAAGCTGCGTCATGTTGTTGGAAAGTCATACAGAAAGGGAGCCGGCATATTAGATATGCACTATGAATCCCCAAACGTACTCTTATCATGTGGCTATGATACGTATATAAGACAATGGGATATCAGATGCAATCAAAAGTAAGTTATTTGATAATTTTATATCACTCGGGAATTGGTTAACAGTACCCAAAGGCACATAGGCGTTATCATTTCCTAAAATTAGTATTTACTGTAGTAGCTCAACTGGAATACTACCAGTAGCAATTTACAAATAATTGCAAATTTCTTTTAATTGATATTGATTACTGTGAATGCATTAATTATTGCTGGATTTTTAATGTAATCTGTTTAATTAAAGCCTCAGGAGCTTGTGTTAAAATAACAATAGACATCATTGTTTCCTGGGCAAAGTTGTGTACTTTCGAAACATTGAGATAGTGAAATTAAATGCCAGTGGAAATGGTTTTGCAGTATGGATTATTTTCATGTATTCACACTAGTGTACAAGCTTTCAAGTAATACTGCTTTTGATTCAGTCTAATTAGTTACATACATAAAAAAGTTGCAACAGATTTCACTGTACAGTACCTACCCCCTGGCTATTGACATTCCTTTTAAATCGGGGTTGTATGACACAAATTTAAAACAAAAATTCATTTTGTTTATTCACAGTTTGTTTTGAAATCCCTGGATTGCAATCACTCCCCTAGCCCACCAACTTGGTTGTCTACTATAAAAAGTTTGCACTGACCTAAATAATACAATGTCATCTTTCTACTAACGATGACAATATGGTGCATGGCAAGGCAGACAGTTAGCATGTAATACACCTGGTAATTTAAATTGGAATTCCTGACCTAGCAGATGAGTAAATAACCTCAGGGTTTCTCTGCAAAGATCACAATAGAGCAGACCACCATCCTCTGTCTGCAATAGAACAATACCCCCGGCATTACGCACTATTATGTATCCTTTTTGATTGTCTGATTGCCGAATACCCCCAAAGATAGATTAACCCCCAGGTTTCACTGTACATACTACTTTTATGTTTATCAAGCAGAGCATTAAAGTCAACTATAGCTTGATTATATATCATACCTATAATTAACATGTAGTGTGGTCGTGTACTGTCCGCTTGTAAGCCGTTGTATGAACCCCTATTTCAAATACACTGGATATTCTCTTTGCCTCTAGCTACAAGATGTTTTTCACTACTTATGCATCGTTCTACTCCATCCATCATCGGTACTGACACATTGAAAGGCTCGATGGATCCACACTACGTAGACCTATTTTCACTTTAATCACAAAACTATTTAAACGTAATGACTATTTAAGTTTGTCTATGCATACTATCCTTTGCAAATGGAATTAAAATACCTAATTTCGTTGGAATGAATGTCCGATATTACCAAAGGATGATTGCTTCCGAATATATAGGTCTACCACTGTCGACAGTTGTAATGTTCGTGTCCGCAAATGCTCACAAGCTTGTCTTCACAACAAAGATTTCGCAACCTTGAAAATTGTTGCACTCAAAAAGAAGTAGCTTCTTCATCAAACATGAAAATTAGGGTACCTCGTTGCAGGTCAATATTCCAACTTGTTGACCAAAAAAAGTGAGAAGTGATGACCGAGGCATGGCTGGGAATCAAATCTGAATAATATTCAACAATATTGATGTTTTTATTTAGCAATTGACAGTACATGTTTTATCTAGAACAAGATGCTCCTATGGTTTCACTTTGTTTTTATGCAAAAATCTTTTCTTTATAAACAGGCATATCATTTTCCATTATACAAGTAGAGCACATAAGCTTATATATATGTCACATGTCAATAATCTACGGTAGTATACAATTAAGGCCAAAATTGATTTGCATGTGCTTCTATTGAAGTTTCTAAATAAAATGCATTACCATATTTGTTCTATTAGTGCATGCAATGTAAATTGCAGAGATATTATTTTAATGTTTATACATGTATAACCAATTTGATATATGGTTTACATTTGCTTTTACTGAAGATGCGCTTCTAACAGAACAAATACAGTATGGCTCAACTATAAGTTTTAGATTCAATGCAAAGTTACTTTAATACAAGATTATGTCTAATTGGCTACCCAACTCATATACATAACAGTTGACCAATCAGGGAGAAGCATGTTTGTTTTGACAGATTTTTTCAAATTTAGCATTGTAGAGTTGTATGTATGCTTTGACTCCACTGCAGTTTTGAATGTTCTAATTGTCTGACCTTGTGTTTCAGTTTTACTTCTACTAGAATGTTACACATGCATTATTCTCTTAGCACGTTTAGCCTCCATCTATTAAATACAATATCCTAATGGATACAGTGGTACATACATGTATAATTGTACCTAATACAGGAATGCAGACTTTTGTTTTGTCCATGCGTATGTCTCATCATTTTCATCACTCACTGGTTGCCATTTTGTCCCAGAAAAATTCATATTCCGAATATTTCAAATTGTGATCAAGCAATGTAAGTTTTACTTGCACAGTTGAAAAATGCCAGAGTGTATTTTGCTGATTATTTTTTCTGTATTTCAGCAATTCAGTGTTACAGTTTGAAGAACCAGACGACTCTGCTATCTACTGCATACAGACTGATGGAGGTTATCTTATTGCATCTGGGTCCTCGCGTTACGGGGTTGTCAGACTGTGGGACAAAAGGATGACCAAATGCATGCAGGTAATGAAGTCTACCATCATAATCAGTTAGTCTTGTGAGGTTATAAATACCATATTTGTTTCATTAGAACCACATTTCCAATAGAAGTGCATATTAATAAAACAAATTATGTAAAAATATTACATATTTTGACCATAGAAGCATCTTTGTAATTTATGTATGCGCATGTGCAATAAAGTCAATAAGGTATATGATGA